AAAAAAAAAAAAAAAAAAGAAATAGTATCTTTCTTCATTTGTTTAGACCAGTGGTTCTCAACCTTCATAATGCCGTGGCCCTTTAATATAGTTCCTCATGTTGTGGTGACCCCCAACCATAAAATTATTTCCATTGCTGCTTCATAACTGTAATTTTGCTACTGTTATGAATCATAATGTAAATATCTGATATGCAGGATGTATTTAGGCAACCCTTGTGAAAGGGTCGTTCAACCCTCAAAGGGGTTGCGACCCACAGGTTGAGACCTTTGATTTATTTCCTTAGCATTTAAAAATTTTCAGCATATAAATCTTGTACATGTTTTGTTAGGTTTATACCCAAGTATTTCAATTTCTTTGGTGATTGCAAATGCAATTATATTTTTAGTTTTGTTTTCCACACGTCCATTGTTAGAATTTAGAAATGCAGTTGACTCTTACGGGCTAATCTTGTGTCCTGAGATCTTGCTGCACTCACTTCTTTGTCTAGGGTTTGTTTTTTTTTAAATAGATCATTTGGAATTTTCGGCGTAGGCAGCCATGCTATCTGTAAATAAGGGTGCTTATATTTTTTTCTTTCTAATCCGTCTGATTTGATTTCTTTTTCTTGTCTTATGGCCATGGCTAGAACTTCCAGTACAGCCTTTAAAATTTTAATCCATGTAGAGTCCTAGAGATTTCCTGAAACATACTTGTCTGAATTGGGTCCATCAGAATTACAACTCTGAATTTTCAACACTCTTCCCCTTATCATCCAAGCTGTTCAGATTTTATATCCTGTAATTTGGATACACAGCTATCATCAGTAGTTATAAGGGGAACCCATTCGGCAAAGCTCTTTGAAGCAGCCGTGACTTTTAAGGAACTAAATGGAACTACAGAAGCAAACCCAGCTTAGAGACATTGTTTGTAGGACAGAGCCAAGAGGCAGTGATGCTTCAGGAGTTCAGGTTTGAGGTTGACCAATGGAGTATTTTGAGTATGTGGTTTGTTCTAGCTTTCCCCCCTTTTCTCTTAATTGGGGGCAGCAATAATTTTAAGCTTTGTAAAACTCAAAGTTACTTCATTCTTAGGTATTAGAAATCACCATCGTTAGGAACTCTTGAGAATTGGCTTATGAGAAGTAAAGAATTCTGGGTATTTTACTATGTTCTTAACATATTTTGACAACTCAAATTCTCATCATGTCTTATTTTGTTAAACAAAGTATATAATATTAATAATACTTGTTTTGGAAAAATGTATATTTCTGATATATAGTGATGTATTTTTATGCCATACAACATACTGAATCCACCAATGAGTGTTTATAGCTTAGAAAGACAGAAAATTTGGGTACTGCTAGATCCTATATAGGTTTCAATTGTAAGTCTTGGATTTATACACATAGGTCCATGTAGGCCTTAAAAGTGTACATGGGTAAGACTAGTTTTCTTGCAAACACCCGGAGCCCCTACATACAATTTGTAGAAAATTTAAAATCAGTAGCAAGAACCAAATTTCAGAGATGGTTTGTTCTCTGAACGCAGGCCTTTTTTTGTTCCCTGATAGCAGTGACAAATCATCTCAAGGCAAGTCAATCATTTTCTTTTCCAATTTTAGTGAAATTCCTGGTTTAATTTATTATACCTGTGCATTTCAATTCATTTTTTTTTTTTTAAACTGCAAATGTTCTATGAAGTACTCTGCCCATCTCTGGGCCTTGGTCCCCTGTTTGTAAGCAGCAAGGAGGGCATGCATCTCATTGGTTGAAAGGCTTAAAAGCTCCTGGGGAGGCCCTGGCCCAGAAGGGAGCAGAGCAGGTCCCCAGTTGTGACTTTCCTTTCTTCTCTGACATGTTGCCTCTGCTTTCCCAACTCCCCTTCTCTCCTCTCCTCTCTCACACTGCAGAATGAGGTGCTTCTTATTTTGGATGCCACTGTTTATGCATGTGTGAGGGGACCCTTGTCAGAAGCATGAGCAGCAAGGATCTGGGGAGCTTAATGCTGAAGCTATCCCTGCCTCTTCAGTGCACGGCCATGGGCCACTTATGTACAGAAGCTCTGTGTGTTATGCTGATTTTCATATTACAGTGGGAAAAAAGCTCTGCAAGTGACTAGAACATTCTAGCCAATACAACAATGTATTTGCATTCCAGTAGCGGGATAAGCAATCCCTGGACAAACAATCTTCGGCCATCATCCTAAATACAGTATTGTGGCTGTGGGATTCATATTCAGCTCCTTTGTGGTTACAAGGAGCTTAGAATCAAGACTGCTTTTGGCACAGCAAGCTGCAAAAATACTCTCACAATACAGAGCAATCACATTTACATACAGGCATAATTTTTTTTCTTAAAGAATGAAGGAGCAACAGTCTCAACATGTCATCTTGACAACCAATAACGATTTCCAAGTAGGTGAGTCTGAGTTGAATACACGTAAACAAAGACTATCTCTGTGAAGTACTGTGCGAGTTGGGGATCTGCCAATGGCCACTTTAATCTCAAATCTAGTACAGGGTTCCCTGTCCACCCTCTCTCATTCTGCTGTACGGATGGCAGGGCTGCTATGAACCCTGCAACAAAGAGACAGCAGTCAATAGCTGTCTGGAACCATCACTTCAAAGGTTTTCATTTTAATGCAAACACCAAGGACGGTCTTCTTACTCCATCAGGCCTTCCTGGGAACTGCTTTGAAATATTCCTCCTTTGAAATGTTGGATACGCCTCCATACCATTTCTGAAGCCAGATATGTTCTATCTTCATCTTCATAAAGAACCATTCATATTGACGGGGCCACTTCCTCATTCCTGGGTGCCTGCAGGAATAAAGGGAGATCCCAGTAAAGCTACTCTTATCAGAGTGGTACACCCTGGGCCAAATCATAGGACCTCGGACTCCAGCTCTCCTTTGGGCTGAGAGATGCTTTTAAAGCAGCCAGAGGCCCCTGGGGACCATGTAGGAAGGCGGAATGTGTAGTCTCTACCCCAGGTGGCTAAAGATTCAAATCGTGAGCTGGGTTCCTTGGTTGGAATCTCAGTCCAACTGCCAATGAGCTGATGACACTCCTGGGCTGTTGGCACTGACGAGCCCCATTGCCTTACCTGTCACATGGGGTGGTGCTGCTGGTCACACAGGGAGCAAACCACGAAGCACCTGCAGAGAGCAAGTGCCCAGTGGATGTCAGTATTATTATTAGGAATCTGCTCGTGGGAACATTTCCAGCCCTGCGGCATGCTGGGACTGGTGAGCCAAGGTGAGAGGCAGTCAGAGCTGACGGGGAGCATCGGATTTTACCTTCTGCTGTTTACTGACTTGCTTTCTCCTCCACGTGTACCCCTAAACACAATGCAATAATCTTTAAGGGCAGGGACTGTAGCTCACTTTTTTTTTTTTACTTCATAAAAATAAAAATTTCCTTTGTATCTAAAAATATTTTTTTGTTTGTTTGTTTTGTTTTGTTTTTGAGACAGAGCCTCAAGCTGTCCCCCTGGGTAGAGTGCTGTGGCATCACAGCTCACAGAGACCTCCAGCTCCTGGGCTCAAGCGAGTCTCCTGCCTCAGCCTCCCAAGCAGCTGGGACCACAGGCGCCCGCCACAACACCCGGCCACTTTTTGGTTGCAGCTGTCATTGCTGTTTGGCGGGCCCAGGCTGGATTAGAACCTGCCACCCTAGGTGCACATGGCTGGTGCCCTAGCCACTTGAGCCACAGGTGCTGAGCCTGTATCTAAAAATGTTATAAACATAATTCAAAGACCAAGTCCAGACTGGGCAAAGCATTTAGTTTTTTGCTTTTTTTTTTTTTTTTTTTGCAGTTTTTGGGTTTGAACTCACACCTCCAGTATATGGGGCCGGCACCCTACTCCTTTGAGCCACAGGTGCCACCCTGGGCAAAGCATTTGTAACAAAGCTAATGCAATAATAGGCTGATGATCTTTTAAAAAATTATTTGTTTTGAAATAATCATAAATATATGTAGAAATGGAGTGTACAGTATATGAACTATTTTCTTTTACGAAACTGTATGAGTGAAGTTGAAGATCTGATGCCCCAATACCCCAGATGCTCGTGCAGCAGAGGTTAATGACATGATTGGTGTTTTCAGCAACCTAATGTTCTGATATCTGGAACGAAGCTTGGTATTAGGAAGTGGATGTTGGTGTGATCCATGGGGTGGTGGCTTTGGGCCCAGGCAGTAGTGGAAGCTGGAAGGACTTTAAGAAGTCAGTGAAAGCAAAAAAAGGCACAGAAAGACTGTGGGAAGGTGGAGGGAGAGGGAACCACCCTAAGTAGTGGCTGCAAATTTGGCGACACTGTTGCCTGCAGTGAGGCAGAAAATAGAAACCGAACCTAAAGCAGCCCTTGAAGACAGGGGCCTCCTCTAACTGCTTAGACAAGGTGTCTAAGAAGTTTGTGTGCAATTTAAAATAGACAAGGATCTTAAATCGCACACGAACTTTATGGACATCCTGTGTAATAACATGCGAGGAGAGGAACTAGAGAACGATAGCTGAGTTAAAAAAATAAAAGTAAAAAGTAAAAAATACAATGTGCGCCCACACACATCTGTATCTATTTCTTGAAGTTTTGAAAACAGGGTGTTCGCGTCGACCTATCCAATCCCAATCATTCTAGTTTTCTTCCTGTGCGCGTTTCTAAGTCCTCTTTCACGCAGGAAGAAACCTGGCTTCCCCCTTCCTTGGGAGGTTTGCTTGGTGGAGATTCCCGGTGCAGGATCCGCCTCTCTGGCAGGGTTAGTGGCGCCATCCATTCATCGCTTGACTCGGTTGCTCTCGAACCAACGCAGACGCTTC